GAGAGAGAAGAGAAGAAGAACAAGAGGAAAGGAGTGAGGATCTGAGCAAGAAATGCATTAATACCAATATAAAGAAAACTTAAAGTCATTCCAAAAGAGCAAAACAAAGACACATATGGAAAGGAATACAATGTTTGTTCTTGAATAGGAAGATTTCATAAAGATGAAAGTCCTTCCTAAATTAGTTCAATTATAAACATAATTTCTCCAAATGCCAACAGTTTCCCTAAGACAAAACCCCACCAAGAAATGACAAGGTGAATCCAAATTTCATGGGGAGATAACCATATCCAAGAAAAACTCTTTAAAAAGCAATGAGGGCATTACTTTAGCCTACTAGCCATTAGAAGTTATGATGGAGCCTCAGTTATTAAGAGTACAGCAGTGACATATGAATGAATAGTCCAGTGGAGAAGAAGAGAAAGTAGACCCAAATGCTCAGCACCAAGTCAGTGGGGTGAAGACTGGCTATCCCATTAATGGCAGAAGAAAAGCTAGAAGAAAATAGGAGAGAAGTATTTTATCCTTGGAGTGGGGAAGGCTTTTCTAACTATGATACATATTACAGAGGCTATATTAGAATGGACTGATAGATTTAACACAAAAATTTAAAATTCTAGGGCTGAGGGTATGGCTCAATGGTACAGCAGCTTATGCTTAGCATGAGCAAAGCCCAGGATTCAATCCTCAGTACTAAAGCAATGTAATTATAAAAGTTTAAAAATTTCAAGCCGGGTGTGGTGGCACACTCTTATAATCCCAGCACTCGCGAGGCTGAGGCAGGAGGATTGCTGGGAGTTCGAGATCAGCCTGGGCTACATAGTGAGTTCCAGGTCAGACTCAACTACATAGTGAGACCCTGTCTCAAAAAAACAAAAAAACAAACAAACAAAAAAAAAGTTTAAAAATTTCTACACAGCAATCAATCAGACAAACATACTACATTATAAATAAAGTCCAAGGTTAATGTGTGGGATAATGGGCCCCCAGGGGTTCAAGGGCTCTCACCCCACTCTCAGAGGTTCACAGACCACTTGAGTTGCAAAAGAAAATGTGTGTGTCTAGGTCCATAACTCTGCAAAATTAAAATTTCACTCCAAAAAAATAGCATCATTTAAAAGAGCAGGCCATGGACATAGAACACATATGTAAGGATCCCATGTACCACTGCAGAACTGGTATACCTATAGGAAAATTATTTAACCTTTCTGTGCCTTGATTTCCTCAATGTAAAAGAGGTACTCACGGAGTAGCAGCAAGGGCTAAAAGATAAAAAATATAAAGTTCTTAAAAAAGAGACTGGCACACAGCAGCACTAAATAACATTATTACTTTTATTAATAATATTCTTGGTTTCTTTTATAAAAACTGCTTTAGTTTAGTTTATTCTCAACAAACTGAGGAGTTGGGGGTGTCGTTCAGAAGTAGTGCTCTTGCCTAGCATGTACAAGACCCTGGGTTCCATCCCTAGCACTACAAAAAAGAAAAAGGGTTTGCCCTGGCCTCAGAACATGCTGTATTTCATATTAGCCCCTACTACGTTTTCATTTAAAACTAATCATTGTGGTTCTGATTCCCAGCACCACATACACACACACACACACACACACACACACACCAGGGATCGAACTCAGGTTTTTACGCTTGCAAGGCAGGTGGCAGAACCACTGCGCTAAATCCTCAGCCCCACAAAAAAAATATATTAATCGATCTAACCCAAGGTCAGCAAACTTTTTCTATTAAGGGCTAGACAGTAAATATTGTAAACTATATGTAGGTTATGTTACATGTTGTCTGTATAACTATGTGACACACTAGTCATAGCATGAAGGCAGCCACAGACAATACAGAAACAAATAATTGTGGCCATTTTCCAATAAAACTTTATTTATAGTAATAGGCAAGTTAAGCCCGTAGACTGTAATATGACAACCCCTGATCTACAGGCAGCCTTTTCCTGTATCACACATTGCACTGAAAGAACAAAGATGAATTCAACATAATCACTGCCCTGAAGAAATGTGAACAATATACCACAAGCCTCTTACCTTGCTCACTGGGAATGTAGGTCTCGTCATAATTTTCCTCCAGAACCAGCTGGTCCCCCATGCGGATGGATGGTCCAGCCATGCTTGGCCTGGGCTTGAACACCTAGATCCCAGAGACCCCCATCCACAGAGAAAATCAGTGACCCGGCTTAGAAGGGGCAAACTGGCTTGGGTGGTAGAGGATCTGGGTCAGACCAGACCCTGCAGGCCAGCAATGCTGCAGGCACCAGGCACAGGAGTGAGAGTAGTACAACAGCTCAGAATTCAGGATCCACAGGCTCTGTACCTGGGAAAGTTCACTGAGGTGCACCTCCCAAAGGCTGCTGAATACCTGCACCACAAAAGATCTACATGCCTGGCTCCCTAAAGAGATTAACTTCAAACAGTTGAAAGACTTACAGTACAGGACCTCCAATTAGACAAACCCTGTGACATCAAAACAGATCCCCCACACACCACCAAAACCCAGTGCATAGTCACACCATTAAATCCAGTAATACCTTCAGGAAGCTTGCAGTTCAGGGGAGAAAGCACACACTACTTTAGCAACAGGAGAAGGGATAAAACTCTCCTCCAGAGTACTAGGACAGGAGTCACAAATTCCCACTGAAGAATAAGAAAGCATTCTAGACAAGGAGCAGGTGCAGAAGCAGGTATTCTAGAGCACCAGTTGACAACGTACACGGCCCAGGTAAGAGCATAACTACTAATAGGGGAAGAGCCTGAAGGAGACAGCCCAATTAGATGGCACCTACGCTGAGAATTGAAGGATCCGCAAGTATTCAGAGAGAAGGAATGTGTTCCAACAGCAGAGCAGCAGCATGTGCAAAGGCCCTTTAGCAGGGAACACCCGAAACCAAGGTGTGGTGGAGGTAGATATGCAGAAGCCAGGCCATGCCAGGGACTTGGCCTTTACCATAAGGGAACTGGAACCCAAGAGAGTTTTTCCAGATATACATTTTGAAAATAATTGCCCTGGCAGACTGGAATAGAGGTCAGATAGGAAAGAAGAAAACCAGAGCAAAAAGAGCCAGACCCCGTGGTGCACACCTGGAATCCCAGTACTCAGGAAGCTATGGCAGGAGGATCAAGAATTCAAGGCCAGCTTAGACTTTACAGCAAGACCTTGTCTCAGAAAAATAAAGGCGGGAGAGGAGAGAGGAGAGGAGAGAAGAAAAGCAGAAAAGCTGAGCAACTGTGGGAAGATGAGATGGCCTAGGTGAGAGAAGGTGGCAACTGAGCTACGGTGGTAATAGAGAGGGTGAGAGCCTAAGAAGACACCCCTTAGATGTACTACGGCAAATAAATGGCACATAGCCTAATATTTTCCTCCAGGCTTGTGACTGTGAGGAACATTCTAGTCAAACAAAAGCTACCACATTGTATTCCATGGAGCAGTTACCAACAGATAAGATGAAATCCAGTAAGATCTACCTGCCACTTAGCCTAAGCCCCCCTATATGCCAGAGTTATGGGGGAGGGTCTCTTGTAGCAGACGTCCCTGCCCAGTACTACAGGGCTAAGAGTGGCACCTGCTTCTTGCTTTCCATAATTCAGGTATATTGTTTTATATCAGAAGTCAGACCAAAGCTCTGTGTGACTCAAATGGGCCTGTCAGATAGGGGACTGGGCAAGTATAGCCCCTCCCTCAAAGGCTGCCATGGAAACCTAGGCCCCGGTCTGTGAAGTGGGGGACTCTGCTGAGTTACATGCAGCTGACTGAGGTCAGCGGGATCCCAATTAAAACTCTTTCCCCTGAATTATGGCTTCTCACTGACCCAATGGGTTGCGTCCTAATTGCACTCAGTTCCAGTACCAGTTTGTTCTGTCCAAGCAAGATAAGCAGTGCTTACTCCCTAACAGCACTGCCTGGTGCCATCATGACAGGTCTTTGGCAGTATTTCACTAGATGCCTTCAAAGCACACCTTGCTCCCTATTCCTTCCCACAGTTGTATTCAATGAATACTGGATGTGCTTGGGGACTTTTGTCTTTGCTGCCATCATGAGCACTAATCAGGTCCCAAGACTCAGCTTCTCCACCCTAAGTCTCATTTCTGTCTGTTCTTGAATTTGCCTTATGTTGTGATGGCTCACTGGTCAGGACCCATGGCAGAGGTCCAGGTAATGTCCCCTTCCCCGTTCCTGCCAATCCCAGAATCTAACAGAATAGGAGTGGCTCACACGCCTCCTCCAAGAAGCCTTCCATAGCTAACCTCCTGCCAACCCAGATCCAGCTCAGCACTGGGAATTTTTCTTATGTTCATAAGCACATTTCTCTCAATATGACTCTTCTCATGGGACTACAGGCCACCTCTCCTGTTAAAGCACAAACTCCTGAGAGCCAGGCCTCCTCCTCTTAAATGTGTCAACCAAGCCCAAATTGAGCCTATATAAACTGTAGGAGCTTAGTTAATGCTGTAAACCACTAACACAGAACCAAAAAAACCAGGAGATGGAAAAGCCCGTAGTTAGTCCAATTTGCCTCTCTATTCTAAATATTCCCTCACCGTGCTTTAAGTGACAAAGGGCATAGTGGTCAGAGCATTAGCTTTTAAGACAGAAAATCTGGATTCAAAATCCAGATCTTACTTGCCAGTTGTATGACCTTAAGAGATATATTTCACCTAAGCCTCAGTAACCTCACATGTCTAATTCAAACAATCATGATAATCTGACAAAAGACTATTTGAGAGTGAACAAGATAATATTTGAAAAGTGCCCAGCACAGTCCCAGGTAAACAGTAAATGTTAAGTAAATTTAGGTGTTATTATTGATGTTACTACCATAAAAATAATAATATCTTGGGCTGGGGTATAGCTCAGTGGTATAGCACATGGTTAACATGCGCAAGGTCCTGGGTTCAACACCAGCACCACAAAATAAAATTAAATAAATAAATAAACAAATGTATATCAAAGCATTGTGAGGATTAAATGATTCAATGTAAAATGTTTAAAATATATAAGATCTCAATAGGCCGGGCATGGTGGCGCACGCCTGTAATCCCAGCACTTGGGAGGCTGAGGCAGGAGGATCGCTGTGAGTTCGAGACCAGCCTGAGCTACATAGGGAGTTCCAGGTCAGTCTTACTACATAGTGAGACCCTGTCTCAAAAAAAACAAAAACAACAACAAAAAAAAAGATCTCAATAAATGCTAGATGTTACTATTATTATCACTACTATTTACATAAGAGGATCTATTCTACATTGCTCCACAGAACAGATCTAGCACCAAGGAACATAAATTAAGGCCATTCAAACATGCAACAGCCACTCAATGAACACCTACCATGGAATTGGATCAGGCCAGTAGTATGTGCTGGGGCTACAAACCTAATTACACATGACCCCGAATATGAGTTGAATGTGCTACTGGGAAGCCAGATATGTAAACATGTGACTTTATCATGTGTTCAGCACATTAAGAGAAATAGTAGAAAATATTACAGAACACAAAGGTAAGGACAACTAGCATTACTTTGGAAGATGAGGGAAAGCATCACAGAGCAGAGAGCCACTGAGATGGTTCTTGAATAAACAAGACCACCAAATAAGTTTAAAGCAGAAGGAATAGTTCACACAAAGTCAAAGAGGTGGGCCAGGGGTTTAGCTCAGTGGCACTGCGCCTGCCTCACATGCACAAGGTCCTGAGTTCGATCCCCAGTACCAAAAAAAAGAGGCAAAAAAGAGTATAGTAGGGGCAAAGAATTACTTATGACAAGAAAGCCTTATGCTGACTATATACTTCCTAAACTCCAGGAGTTGTACTAAGTTTCATATACATCACCTCACCTAGAGAATTCCAGCTACACAGACTATCATCCCTACTTTTCAAATAAGGAAACTGAGACTTAGCATTTTGAAAAACATCTTAAAAACATGTTCTTCTTTGTTTGGGCCAGGGTCTTGCTATGTAGTTCAGGTTAGCCTTGAACTCACCACAGAGTCCAGAATGGCTTCAAATTCACAGGGATCTGCTTATCTCAGCCTCCTGAGTGCTGGGATTACAGGCGTGCACCACCACCACACTCAGCTTTTAAAAATGTTTTTAAAATCTCTAAATCAGACACAAATGTTTAAATATTGCATTGTTTCTCTGGGGTGAGAAACCAAAAGTGGAAATAAGGGCTGAAATGCATAATAAATATGGGGAAGTGGAAAGAAAACGTTCAAATGGGAAGGGGAGCAAGGGAGGAGGTAGGGAGAAAGGAAGAAAGGAACAAGAAAAAAAGTGAAAATAGAAGGAAAAAACGGAAACAAAGCTTTTGTACATAGATAGGGGAGGGGTCTAAAGGAAGAGGGGAATGGGATAAAATAAAATGTATTTTTTTAAAACGTACAGGATAGTACTACAAAAAATAAATAAAAATAAAATAAAATCTCACTCAAGGTTTTACAACTAGTAAATTACACAGCATAATATGCATACATCCAGTTCTATCTGATTCCAAAGCCTGAGTCTTAACCACTCTGACATGACCAGAAAGGAAAGGCCAGTGAGGGGTATGGCAAGAGAGATTCAGAATGGAAGGCAAGAATATTATAGAGGCTTGGCAAGACTGAGCTGTAGGAGGTACATAATGGGGACATCACAGGATTTCACAAAGGAAACTGGCATGATAAGATTTATAGTTTATTAAGATGATTCTGACAGCTTCATAAGAACTACTTAGAGAGAGACAAGTACAGAGGCATAAAGGCCACCTAGGAAGTTAACCTGCAAGTACAGGCAAGAAATTATGAACCAAGTCTGTGAGACTTGAGAATGAAAAGAGACTGTGAGAATGAAAAGAAAGGCCAGGTTCTTCGAGGAGGAAGAGGAGGCAAAATAACAGGACCTGACGTCCTGACTTGTGCAGCAGTAAGTAAGGGGTGATGGAGGAGAGAAACTATAGCACTTAACCAGTATACAGCGATTCTAGGTCCTGGCAAGCCCCAGCATACTGCCTGGAATACAGGACATGCCCAACAACTGTCTCCTGCGTTTATGAATTCCAACGTAGACGTAGCTGACTGAGAGGTCTTTAGATGACATAAGAAATACAACGAGAAAAGAAACAGATCCGGGGGACCAAGGAAGGTTGGAGAGGATCAGTAAGCAAATATAAGCTCCGGAAAGGGTTCTGGCTGGAAAGAATTTTGCTGAATAGATGGCAACTGAAAGTCTGCGCGCAGTCACCTGGAGATGAATGAGATGAATAGAAAGGAGAGGCCTACAAAGAGTTCAGTTAGGAGATTCCGCAGAGAGGGGGTCGTGGAAGCCAAGTGAGGTCTTAAATCAGTGCAAAGAAATGAAAAACTTCCCAACTTCCCCAGCTGGCCAAAAGATGGTATCAGGTTGGGGTAGCCCCGGATTGGGATACTGAGGGGGGCTGGAGGGGCTCCCCACCAGAGAAGAAGTCAAGCAGGGTTCGGAAGGCCGGGCCTCACACGCTGCCCAGAGGCAGGACGAGCGAAAGACCGCTGCAGCGGGCGCTCACGTTGCCGGCGCCCCCACTCCTGTACCGGCAGCTAACCACTCACCCGCCAGAGCCCCACTGCCCATCGCGAGGGGGCGACCAGAGGTTTTGAAGCTGTAACACTCCCTCGGCCGCTCCTTTTTCACTTTTCTCCCAGTTCCCGCCCTCACTCGCGCACATCCCTCTCGCTGGCCGACCAGGTTGCCTCAACTCCCCCGCAACCCCTCTTTCCCGACCACGCCACACCGCCCCTCCCCGAGAAGATCCTCACCGGTCCCCCACCCGACAGGCTCTGGGCGATGACTGCGCCGCTTCGCCAGCACCACCCCGGCTCCCCGCTTCCAGGGACGCCGGGGTGTTGCCCTGCAGCGGCCAAAAACCACTTCCGGACGGGTACCAACCTAGCAACTAAGAGTTCCGCCTCTAACCCGGAGCCAATAGGTCACTGACTGAGAGCTTTGGCATTGGATTGGTTCGAGGTCCCGTCTGATCACGCAGAGTGATGAATGTAACCCGTTGAACGATGGGAATGGTAGTTCATGATAGTTGATGGGGCTTCCACAGTGATTAAAAGACCTTCATTTAGATATGAGAATTTCTTCCAGGGTAGGGAAGGACCATTAAAAATATTAATAATATAAGCAATCTCTTGGTCATCATGGGATTAATATCAGTTGAATAAGTTACCATCAACAATCAATCCATTTAAAGGTGTAGGGGGGAAGCCGGGGGTAGTGGCGCATGCCTGTAATCCCAGCATTCTGGAGGCTGAGACAGGAGGATCGCTGTGAGTTCGAGACCAGCCTGGGCTACATAGTGAGTTCCAGGTCAGTCTCAACTACATAGTGAGACCCTGTCTCAAAAAAACAAAAAATAAGAATAAAAATAAAAAATAAAGGTGTAGGGAAAGTGGGAAGGGTAGGGGAAAGGTAATAAGGGAAAAGAAAAAAATAGGAGAAAATGAAAAAATGGAAATAAAGTGTTTGTAAATGGGAAGGGGAGGAAAGGGTGAAGGGAGGGCAGGGAGAAGGGGAAAAAATGAGACCTGTCATGTAAGGGTACAAGATCCCAAGGATGAATGTAACTGTACTGTATACCTAAAATGTACCAATAAACTCAATGAGGAAAAAAAACATTCAATACATTGACTGATCCTTTAATAGACAAAAAATGTGAATTTAAGGTAATGGAGATCCTCCTTCCATCCGCACGACTTCCCCGCCCCCCCCAAAAAAAAACTGGCTCTGTGTTTCAATTAAATCAATGAGCTCCTGACCGGGAATTAAAGAGACCTAGTTTCTACTCTCCATCTCTTCATCAGAGCACAGGGATCACTTTGCCATTCTGCTATACAGGATGGTAACGACTGTCATAATTATTTCAGAGTCTGAGGAAGAAGAAACAACAGGTGACATAATGTGTAGTCCCTGCATACACTTAGTCTAGTAGAAGTATTGGTATTAATATAATTCCAAAGAGCTTTAGTTTTGCTTACTTGGAAAACAAATATTCCTTTCTCTCCTACACTGCCAATCTCCTAGAGAAGTTAAGTGGAGCAGAGACTCCTCTGGCCACCCATAAATGGGAAAATGGGAACAGAAAAAGCAGAGATTTTGCTAATAGAAAAAGAAGGAGCTGGGCGCACATACCTGTAATCCCAGCACTCTGGAGGCTGAGGCAGGAGGATCACTTTGAGTTCAAGACCAGCCTAGGCTACATAGTGAGTTGAAGAGAAAGAAAGAAAGAAAGCAAGAAAGAAAGAAAGAAAGAAAGCAAGAAAGAAAGAAAGAAAGAAAGAAAGAAAGAAAGAAAGGAGAGAAGGTGGGTGTGGTGGTCCACACCTGTAATTCCAGCACTCAGGAGGCTGTGAGTTCGAGACCAGCCTGGGCTACATAGTGAGTTCTAGGTCAGTCTCAACTACATAGTGAGACCCTGTCTCGAAAGAACAAAGAGACAGAGAGAGAGAGAGGAGGAGGAAAGAAGGAAGGAAGGGAGGGAGGGAGGAAGAGATTTTGAGGCCTCACACTTGGAGCAACACCAGTAGGCTCTGAAGTTGTGCCTGGCTCCTACACACACTTGAAACTAGTCCCTGCAACACTTAGACCCTGATAGCACAATGAGGAACTCAGGTTGTTATTCCTGTAGATCCTAAATCAGATGGCCAGAACATATTTCCCATGTTTAAATCTTTCTGCCCAAGTTCTATGTGTACATCCTTTATTCTCACTGCAGCTGAAAAAAAGATTGTTCTCCCTTCTCCGTTCACTGAAGAGCCAAAGAGACCAGAGTAGGAAAAGACTCTAAGGCTCACATTCATCAATCAGACTACACAGAACATGGATTTAAAATGCCATTTTTAGTTCCCTACATCAAAGAACTTGCAATCAGTCTACTGTCATCAAAATGCTTAACTTTTTTCCCTTAACATGGATCCCCAGCTGATAGGAAGGGCTACTAAAATAAGATATACAGTCGAATTGATGGAATTATCTTCACACAGATAAAATATCTGCGCTGTGTTAGGCTTTTCCGTAGGTTTGTACTCAGAAATGCAAACCCGTTTATCAAATGTTCTCAGGTAAACATAATTAAGAGTCAGTCTTTTGGGGAGAGGTTAACAACTATGACACGTCAACTGATATACTAGTACTGTGTATACGCAATCAGTGAGGAGGGCAATTTCACTCATTGTTGCTTGTCTTCTAGAGTTTCAGATAAACATTTAGGGGTGATTTTTTTAAGGATGAGGGAGTCAAATTTTCCTCTAATTCTAGGTCAGAAGAAATTCCATTGCTAGAATTTTGCTTCTCTTTTCATACTGTTTATTTGGAATATAGAGAAAACCACTCATATGAAAATAAGGAAGGAAAATTTACTAAGCCTACCACTTTGTTAAAGGTATATAAAGTTGTCAAATGTTTCTTCTACACTTTCAGTCCATCTTATTTAAAAATTACCAACTGTTTTTTCAGCTCCCTTCTCTGATTTATTTTTCCCTATAGTACATTCACATATGAAATATTGTTTGTCCATTTGTGTGCTCTCTGTCTCTCTGCATTAGAATGCAAGCTCCATGTGGTCAGAGATTTTGTCTGTTTTATTTATCGATTTATCCAGTGCCTCAAATAGTGCTTTGCATGCAGAAGCCCTCAATATACATTCACTAAATGGATGGATTCAGTAAAGAAAGAAACAAATGCGTCTGTTTCAGAGGAAACCATTGTTGGCACATTGGTTTCTATCTTCCAGATTTTTTTATGTTTATGTAGATAAAAACGTGTGTATACACATATAAGCAGAAATACATACTTTAAGATTTCTAAAGAAATGGGATCATAATGTACTTTAACATGTTCTAAACATCTTCATTTCATAAGAAGCTATAGACGCTCCCTGGTGGTCTAGTGGTTAGGATTCGGCGCTCTCATAAGAAGCTATAACTTTTAATGGTTATTTAGGATGTCACTGATTAAATGTCAAAGTCTCAGGCTCCTACTTATGATCATTTACCTGGTTTCTTAGTTTTCTGTTAGCTTGTTTTTGAGACAAGGTCTTGCTATGTAGTATAGGCTGCCCTTGAACTAGACATGTAACCCAGGCTGGCTTGGAACTCAAGATCTTCCTGGTTCAGCCTTCCAAGTGCTGGATTACAGACATGAGCCATCATGCCCAGCTATTTCCAAAATTTTAATATTGTACACACTTCAGAATTTTTGTTATTTTGTATAATAGGGTCCTCAAGATGACAATGCTTAAAGATTTGCATTTTCATATTTTAATAGGCATTCCCAAATTACTCTCCAAAAGACAGAATAATTTACAATCCAATCAGTACCTTCACCAGCACCAACATGTTAGCAATCTGAGACAAAGGAAAGGAAAGAAGGAAGAGAGAGAGAGAGAGAGAGGAAAGATAGTGGTACTTGAAATACTGTTTTACTTTATATCCTTCTACTAATAATAAAGTTGACCTTTTTCATATATTTATTGGCCATTTGAGTATCTTCTATGAATTACCTGTTCACACTCTTTGTTCACTTTTCTATCACATTGTTTGAGGGTTTTTATTGATTTGTGGAAGCTCTTCATGTATTGAATGCCATCTGTATCTATATATGATTCCTATATATACATGGGTCTATTGATTTTCATTTTTTTCCAGTTCCTCTCTGCCCCCTCCTCTCTCTCCTTCTCTTCTCTTCCCTTCTTTCTCTCCTCTTCTTTCCTCCTCCTCTCTCTCTGTCTCCTATCTTTCTTCCTTTTTTTAATCCTTCTCTTGGTGCTAGAGATCAAACTCAGGGGCTTATACATGCTGAGCACTGGCTCTGTCATTCAGCCACACTCTCAGCACTTTGTTACCTTATTCCAGAAATTTCCCTTTAGTTGTTTGTTCGCTTGTTTTGTTTTGTTTGTAGTACTAGAGATTGAACCAAAGGTGACTCTTACCACCGAGCTATATCCTCAATCCTTTTTAATCTTTTATTTTGAGATAGGGTCTCACTAAGTTGCCTCGCCTGGCCTTGAATGCTCAGTCCTCCTCCCTCAGCCTCTTGAGAAGCTGGGCTTAGAGGCATGCATCACCATGCCCTGTTTCCCTTATTTTTTTTTTAATGGTGCGGGGGATTGAACTCAGGTCCTGGAGCTTGCGAGGCAGGCAGTGGAAACACTGAGCTAAATCCCCAGCCCTCCCCTTAATTATCAGAATGATTACTAAATTTTATCAAGGACTTTCCATGCTTGATAAATAATACGATGAAATAATTGTGCAGCTTTCTCTATTAAGCAATTAGAGCTCTACAGCTTTTTGTTTCAAGCTGTTACCAATTAATACACTGATACTTCTTGGAATAACACTTCAAAGCTCTTTATCCTCAATTTGACAGTGCAGGAATCAGGGGTCCTGAGGATTCATGGCAAGAGAGCATCAAAGACCCAAACAGATTCAGACAGAAAAGACCTGGCCAGCTCTTAACTCCCACAGGTAGCCAACTCTGATGAAAACAGACTTCACATGTCCCTGTTAGATGTTGTTTGCTGCCCAGAGTATCTTTCCATCCCTTTAATCTTGCTCTCCGTTATGGCTTGTATCTAGATGTCTCCCCAAAGCCTCATGTGGTCATTAGTAGAGCTGGCTCTAGAGTGTGTGATGCTGGTATTGATTCATGGTATAATGGCAGGATCGAGGGTACTAGGATTAAAAATATGACTGCTACCTGCTCTAAGTAGTCTGGATAAGATATAAGGGATAGAAAGAGGTGCAGCTTTCCCTTATTGCTTTTTCACTTTTTGCCCACCATAAACTCTGTGATGCCTGTCTTCCATGCCACCCTGCCTTGGAGCCAGAAGATTATGGACTGAAACCTCTACAAACTGTGAACTAAATAAACCTTTCCTCCTTTAACTTTGTGTGTCGGGTATTTTGTCTCAACAATGAGAAAGGTAACTAAGACACTCCCCCAGTTTCTGCCCCTGGAAATATTACCCATTTTGAGGCTCAAATTAAGCCACCAAGATCCCCAAAATGCACCCCAAATCCCTGCTCCTTAATGCTACGTCATTTGTGTGTAACCCCACTGTGGCAAGAATCACCTAATTCTTCTGTATGAACTCACTGATGGTGTGTTCCATTTTACTCCTCTCTGTGGCCCCAGTGCCTCTCAGAGTGGGTGGCATGCATCAGGTATGCCCAACAATGAAAGGACTGGCAGGTGAGAGGTGAGTAGTCACTCCTCACCTACCTGAAGGGCTCCTCCCGCCCAGCCTGGGTTTGGGAATTCTTTCCCAGACAGTATCCTGCAGGGTGGACTCCGCCTCGATAGAGGGCATCCCAGACCCCTCTCCAGCTCCGGAAGGAGGGCTGCCTGTTATGGGAAGACTACACTTCCCAGCAATCTCAGGGCAAAGCGAAAACGCTTTGGCTTTGACAGCCACCGCCACAAGTCTTTCCGCCTCCCTTGCTAGCCTAGGAGCTGGGAGTTGGGAGCTGGGAGCTGGATTATGGTGGCCTGAGCAGCAAACGCAGCCACAGGAACCCAGAGCCCCGGCCCCTTCCCACTTCCTCATCCCCGCCAGGAGAACCGAGACTGCAGCCGGCGCCACCCTGCCATGCCCGCCCCTCCCAGCCCCAGAGGGGCCCGAGCCCGCCGCTGAGGCTGCCCGCCACCGTCCAGATGTAGCTGGGTCCCGGATCACAGCGGCTGCTCTCCTCTCTTGCACTGCGGATTCTCCTGCCCGCTCTGCACCGCCTGGACCCGGGGGCTGGCTGAGGGGGCCTGCAGGCTCTGGATTCCTGATGCCGCCAAGCCCCCTCTCCTGAGAGAAGCCACTACCATCCAGACTTGGGGACAGGCAACAGGGACGGACGTGGGCCCGAGCGAACCCAGAAGGCCCGGGCCCACGATGGCCCAAGCCCTGCCCTGGCTCCTGCTGTGTGTGGGTGCGGGAGTGCTGCCTGCCCATGGCACCCAGCACGGCATCCAACTGAGGAGGAGTCCGGCAGGAGGGGCAGCTTCGTGGAGATGGTGGACAACCTGAGGGGCAAGTCGGGCCAGGGCTACTACGTGGAGATGACCGTGGGCAGCCCCCCACAGACGGTAAGGTGGTCAGGCAGGCGCTGGCCCCCTTCCTGCACCTCAGAGGGGAGGCTGGGCGGGAATGCAGCAGGCTGCCCTCTACTAAGATGGGCAGGTTGGGGGCAGCAGACGGGACCCTCACCCGAACTATGGCAGCAGACGGGACCCTCACCCGAACTATTCTTCTGGGGTCAAATTGCTGAAGCCATCGCCAAAACTCCCCTTTCCCACCTCCTTTTCCCTGGCTAGCTTCCCCCGTCCCAGTTGGCAGACCGCCCCCCTTCACTCCCACCCTGCCGTGTCCCTCAGTAAGGATTGTCTGGGCACCTGACCTGGGGAAGAAGGGACAGTTCGTGGGGGCACCATAACAGGTGTCAGCCCTCTCTGATGCTGGCCAAGCTTGAGTCTCCCAAATTCTATGACCCTGGCTGCTGACCACCCAATTCTCCCCTCCTCCAGCTTTTCAGGGATGCTGAGGTCCCCACCTTCATTTCCTGAGGACCAGGAGTCCTGGCATCAGCTGGATCAGCCCCTTCCTCCTACAGTCTAGGCTGCCTAAAACACAGTGAAGTCACAGCCCTCCTGACCACCATGCAGTTTGAGAGGGGTCCTCCTCCATCTCACCCCGCTTCCTTGTCCTGATCACCCACTTCTTCTCGCCCCTCCCCTGCACTCCAGCCCCTCCTACACCCCATGCCTCTAAGATCTGGTCAGAAGGGAACCAAACTGAGCTTAGGAGAGAACAAACTATGGGAAAGGAGCCAGAGCCCCTCCTAACAGTGGGGTTCCATTCATGGTAGAAGGGTAAAGGCACTGATGAAGAAAACACTCCCCACTGTCCCCATCCTTCTGGACAATCACTGAGGTAGAGGTACCTCAAAAGTGTCTGGTGGAGGTTGTGCCCTCCACACCCTGTGTGGCTGTGAGAGTGTGGGCTTGAGCAGCACTCTGTACGGGGTGCTTGGCTGACCTCTGTGTGTGTCTGCCTGCTCTGTGAGTGAGTCTGGGCATGGATGCAGTACAGTTCTGCATATGCTGGTGTGTCACCTTGAATCTGATCCTGCACATCTCTGTGAGCTGCCCCCAGATCTGTGTTCATGTCCCTGACTGGAAAGCCTGTCCATGGAGAGTGAGTAAAGTGATAGTGTGGTGGGGTGAGGGAGGGAACAGTCACACTTCGCTGAACCACAAACCCTCACCTTCCAATTACCTGACAGAAACTAGCCTTCCTAGGGCCATGCCACCCAGGCCTGCTTCCCAGAATCCAAGGTCCTGGCTCCACCCACACCCGTTACCCCTCTTCCTTCCCGTGCACTAGAACTTCCTTAGAGTTAGTGTCAGATCTGTCTTCGGGGATCAGACCCCGAAAGCCTGAGCAAACAAAATGCTAGGTTTTGGCAGGGATCTGGAGGCATGTGGAATCCTGAGACCTACTCTCTCATTTCTGCTGGTGATGTGCTGTGCAAACTGTGCACACACGCTGTGACCTGTCACAGGACAGAGCTGCGCTGCACAACCCTCAAGGGCCTTTGAGTCAGACAGATCACCTGAGGCTCTATCTACTGCCCAAAGCTTTCTGGTTTCCCAGCTGTGTGGCCTTTGGCAAATTATATAACCTCTCTGAGGCTTTTACCTTACTTTTAAAGTGAATAAAATGAGATCTGTTTTTGCAAGATAATTGTATTAAATGAAACCGTGGAGGGGGAACAGTGCACTAGCCACATAGTTGACCCCCAGTAAATATTATCTCACTATCTCCTTAACTGGTAAGGCCCTCTGCCTCTTCTGTACTATCCAATAGGGCAGAAAAACTTGGGTGTCTGGGTTCTGTGTTGTACACATGTGAAATTAAGGGCCTAACTGCTGTACTGCTGTAATCCCCTGAGGTACTGTGTGCATCCCCCAGCCCAGCATTTGGCAGAGTAACTGTTCACTGTCTGTAAGTTCCATCCTCCTGCTAGAAGATAGAGCAGGGACTAGAAGTTGCCAGGCAGCCCTCCCAGGCACACTCCACGCTGTGTGGATTGTACCGTGACTCCTGACCTGGGCCTGTGCCAGACAGTACGTGCTGTGGGACTTTGATCCTCTCACCAGCAGTCTTTGAGAAGGCCATCCAGCACTGTGAACAAGTAAAAGTGAAATCTGGGGAGCACTTTTTATGTTTGTGGGCTGATCTACAGAGACAGAACACGTGTTTTCTTCCTGTTAAGACCTAAGAGTAGAAGTGCAGTATAAGTACACATCCAAGGTCATCCGTAGCAGTGACTGGCCTAGTGATGGTCTGCAGACCCTTCTCATCAGAGCCCAAAAAAATATGTCAATACTCTGCCCCCACCCTAAACTCAAGTCAGAATCTCTAGGGGTGGGACCCAGCCAATTGTGTCTCAAGGTTGAGAAGCGCTGATCTGTGGGAGTACAAAGAGTGAGGTTTAAGTGTTCAGAGGGTCATGAATTAATCAGGGGAGGCTTCCTGGGGGAGGTATTCCCTGAACATGGTCTTGAAGGATGGAGAGGAGTGGGAGGCCATTCCCTGTAAGGAAATGGCACCTATCCCAGTGCACTGTAATTGTACCTTATTTGTCTTTCCATGTTTGCTCCTCCCGATACTACTTGCTTTAGCCTAGGAGAGGGCACAATGAATGAGAGAATGAGCTGTGTGTCTTTTGGGCTTATGCATGTTTATTTGGGAGACAAGCAAAAGCTCAGACCAGTTAATATTATAGGTTTGTGCTGAGACCACATAAAATTGGGTAAATACGATAAAGTCAAATTAGCAGAAGCTTTAAATGTGAAGTTATAAAGTTTTAGATTTTGGTCTTCAACTATTAGGGGAAAACTGTGTTCATCTGTGCAGAGGAATGACACAGAGAAAGCAATCTTTTAGGAAGAGACAGCTAAATTTTAGAAAGGGATAGATATACAGATGGCAGGAGGATCTGTCACAATTGCCCAGGTGCTAGATGATGTGACAAGGACAGCATGAGGCTGTAAGATGGAAAAGTAATGGAAGACCAGGTTGCCAGCAACACTGTCAGGCACTTGGGCAGGACTTGTGATATTGGTGTAGGGACTAGAGAAGGTAACAAGGTGATTTTGAGATTCTGATCTGGGGAGATTTGGAAGATAACAAGAGTATTTGTGGGAATAGGAAAATTGGTAGCAGGGCATAATCTAGTAGTGCTGCTATACTATAAATGTGTTTATTACTGGAATATATACAAAGTTTCTTTTATCCATTCTATAGGTACTATTATTGTTTACAGAAATTCCTTCAATATATATAAAAGGTCTTTATTATTCAGAGCTTCTAGCACAAGAAATGGGGTTTGAAAGGTTAAATAATTGGCTAGTGGCAAGTAGGTAAACTGGAACCGTTGTTTCATTCCTTGTTCTCCCTATTATGCCATTGTCTTGGGGGAGAAGGGTTTATTACAAGCAGTCTTCTTCCATTCCCCATAATATTTGCTTATTATACTCTGTACCACATATATCATAATGTTATAACTTTTTTTCCCCCTCATAAAACTTTATGCTCTTAGGTGGCACACAGGCCTTTGCTAGAGCCCCTCTTCATTGCACATTCTCTGCCTCCTGAGTTCAGTAAAGATGAGCTTATCTGGGAGTGGAGGAGGCTTGAAGAAGACAGTGTCCTCTCATTGAAATAGAGGGTCAAGAGCCGTACTTGGGCATGTTCATTCAATAAAGAGCAAAGCAGAAACTCTGGTTGGAAATCCAGAAAGAGGAACATCTCCAGAGAAGCTTCCATAAATTCTCTCAGCTGAAAGCCATCTCCCTTGAGTGCCTGGGCAGTTGAGAGTTCTAGGAAGAGGCCAGACCATTGTCCTGGTTCTGGAACTACTTGCGATTCTCCTGGCAGGATGTGGTTGCAGAGGCTGGAAGGCACTTATTGATGCCTCCTTCTCCTTAGGTACTGTAGTTAGGTGGTCCCTAAAAGGGGAGAGGTAGGTGTTCTGAGGAGAATGCAGAATCACTAGTGCTGGGGGTGGTCCTGACCCAGCAAGTGGAGATGCCTAAGTGCTTTCCTCATAGACTTAAAAAGCCACAGAGCGGGCCGGGGATTTAGCTCAGTGGTGCCACTGCCTGCCTTGCAAGTGCAAGGTCCCAAGTTCAATCCCTGGTACAAAAACAGAAAAGCCACAGAGCACACAGGCTAAACTGTACTTCTGCCATACCAGCTTGTCCTCTCTCAAACCTGAGCTGCTGTTACCCTGTGGCTGGTACTTTCTCTGCTGCCCACTGTAGCTCTACTGCATCAAGGCCAAAGATCTCCTTCCTTAACCTTTCAGAGTCAGTGAACACCAGTACTTATTCCTTTCCAGTGCCTGTAAGATTTTGCCAAGGAGTGAGCTCTAGCATTTCCCAGTGGCTGCAGCAAAGAAGCCTGTGTGCTAAGCATGGCCCAGGTGCCATGAGGGGAAATTGAGCATGTGCCAGAGATTGGCTTCATTTTCCACAGGGGACAGACCAGAAGATTAAAGCCACGATAAGCTGTGGGTAGGACAAGGTTAGACAACAGGAGAGACTTACTGCCTGATAATGAGAAGTAGGTACCTCACAGCTGTTGTGATACTTTGTAGAGCAAGGTTTTTCCTGATGGTTTCTGTAGAGGCTGATGGTATAATGCAGGTCTCAAGAGCCCACACAAGGATTCAGGGTATATGTAGCTCAGTGGTACAGCATGTGGTTAGAATGCAAAAGGCCCCTCCCAAAAGTTTGAAAGCCATTGTCTTAGAACTGTCTACATTCATCATCTCATTGAACTAGGAAGTACTGATAAGTTCTAGTTGAGCGTGGCTGGACACTGGGGAGAAAGCATTTCTGGCCAGAGAGGGAAGTGCACCCTGTTAGTCTGATTTGGGGTGACCTAGCCCCCTTGGGATTCCTTTAAAACTCAGCCTGGGGTAGGGTAAATGGTGCTCCCAGGTACCCATTACCAGCTACTGACTGGAGAACAAAGTGGAAGGCAGAGATACATCTGTATAGGATCAACTGGTTTGTTC